CACCCTAAAAGCGGGGGGGCCGCTGTAAAGGCTGACGGAAGACTTGTCGGCCGAGTGTTCCTGTAAAGCGGGGGCCGAGTACTGTTTTATCATCTCACTGCGTCGCATCGAGCATAGCGCATGCAAAAAAAGAGGAGGAGGAAAAGGAGGAGGAGGAGGAGGAGGAGGGGGAGGAGGAGGGGGAGGAGGAGGACCGACCGACACCTCTGGGGGCATGGGCTATATCCGAACACCTCAACAGCGCCCTAGGAACGACATATATGCCGCGAATTTCGGACCTCCAGCCCGCTCACAACTCACAGAGCCTTTAAGTCCCCCGGTTTCCACACGAAAAAACCGAAGTTTTAAACCCCAGGAGACGGGCCGCGGACCCCGCAAGGCTATCACAGAAACCAAAACTCCGAACAACACGGACCGTTTCAGCCTGAGTGCGGGCACGTTTCAACGGCCCCGAGGCGGAGGGGAGGATCGGAGGAGGGGGCGGAGGGACAGCAGCCTCGGCGGCAGCCAACGGAGCCTCAGAAGAAGTAGGAGAAGTAGCACATCGCATAGCAGTGGTCGCAATACGATCACCCACAGGCATCGGACGTCGCACCACCTGCATTGAATGGTAAACTGGAACCACCAGCAATCTGCAGATCATCCCGTGAATCGAATTGCTCAGCACAGCCAATCACCAATAGAGGAGTAGACGTACAGGCTCCCGTCGAAGCAGCGCACGCAGGATGAGGAGAACATCGAATCCTAGTCGAACGAGCACTGTCCCAAGACTTCGGTAGACCAGATTGGTGCACCCCTTTGCCACTGGACGTCGCACCACGCGACCCACCTATAGCCATCCGATCTTCAGGAATATCCTACTGCTCATCCCAACCCTTCACCAAAGGAGTAGACGTACTTCTTGCTCCCGTCGAAGCAGCACCAATAGGAGAAGGAGGAGAACATCGCATAGATGTGTCGCAATACTGATCATCCCCAGACAGATTCGGTAAAGCAGACTGGTGCATCCCATCGTCACAAGACGTCACACCATTGAAAGGCAAAGAGGCTGAACCACCATCTCTGAAGTGACCATCGCGTGAATCGAATCGCCCACCATGAACATTTAAAACTCGTCCGAAAGGAATGTCTGGAGGATACGCTCGAGATTGTTCATCGGCGCGGCCCCGACCTTCTTGGTGGCCCCCAGCTGCTCTAAGCAACATATCAACACGATGAGAGAAGGTTCGTTCGTGAGCAAGACTTTGACCTGGCCCTCCTTGTGCGCCTCTGGATCTTGATGAAGGGAAACTTCTCCATGACAGCGTCCAAGGGGAGCTCCTTGATCTCGGTGTGCCACTCCGTGAAGCGCTGCTTGTTCCTGGCGCCGACGCTTGCCCCTGCCTCGTGACCTCCTTCCGCGAGGCCTACCAGCGCTGCCAAGGAAAGCCTTCCTGTCTTCTCGACCTCCGACTCCCTGCCGCGCGCGCGAAGCTCTTGGGCGTTCTCCGCCCGCGCGCGAACTCTGGCCTTCCACTTCTGCACGGGCGCGGCGCTTTCGTCCATCAGCAGCGTGGCGAGGGTGATGGCTTCTTGCCGGCGGGTTCTCATGGTAACGTTGAGAGGCACTTTCATGGGGATCGGCACAGCCTTCTGGATAGTTGCCATGTCCGTTGACTCCAGTGACTCCATCTCTTCCTTCTCGACCAACTTGTTGGACGGCTTCTTGGCGAGGGCGCGCTTGGGCAGGCTTCCGGCGCCGGCGGCCTGGCGCCCCCGGCCTTGCTCGGGGGCGCTCGGCGCGGGCGAAGTCGCTGCAGGCGCCGCCGTGTGCATGCCAAACAAATTCAGGAAGACGTAGGGGGAGATGGGTAACAATATGCCGCTGTAGGAGCTCGAGAGATGAAAATGGCTCAAGACACATGGGGCACACTCTGACTTCAGGGCCATGTATCGGTGGATCCTACTGCGACGCATCAACTCTGCAACGACCATATCTGCACGCGTTCGCAAGGCGCCGCACTGCTGCACCCCTAGACCGAAACGTAGACGAACAAGCCACACACTGATTAGCAACCGCCACCTTAGATATCAACGACTGCAATCCATGTTAGCCTCCAGAGGCCTGCCCCTGACGCACTAATAAAGCCCGCCGAGAAACAAACCGACGTTCACACACGAGCCCATCAGCGGCAAGAAGTTCACGCGCGTGGTCCCCGGTCGCAAGCTCCCCAGGGTCATCGGGCCCCAAGCTGTCGGGGCCCTTGCGCAGAAGCCACTCAGCCCGAAATTGTTGGACATCAAGTCTCTGCAAGGCCTCAAAAGCAGGAGTATTCCCATGGAAGATGTTGAGATAATCCCCGCCCGTATCATCCACCGCGGTCGCCCCCTCCTCCGTGCATCTCGCACATTCAACATCCAGGAAAACTGCCGGGCCCAGGGATTGGAACGCGATGTGTCCAGCGACCTCGGGGCAACATTAGGGCGCCATGGACAGGGCGACACAAGGGGCTTCTCGAGGTCCAGGGAGCCGAACACAACGGTCAGCTGCTGCATATTCTACTCGGGTGAACGCGCCACTTTCTGCCACTCTCTGAGCCTCTGGAGACGAACTTCTAAGCCTATAGGGACAAGACCAGCGCGCCGCCAAATTACGCGTGCAGGAGGTGTACGCATGACAGTAGACTCCTCCCCAGCCTCATCAGTCACAGTATGAGACACAGCATCACCACCCAGGGGCACGCGAAAATACCGAAGACTTATAGAATCTAGCTTGGCTTCTTGAGATTCAGAAAGAACAAGCGCAGCAAGCCCTGAAACAGCAGCACCAATAACATTGCTGCGAAAAGCCATTGTATGGCCCGCCAGGAAGTGCTTTGGAACCAGAAACGACGCATGCAAGCCCAACCTCGAGACACTGCAGAACATCTGGGAGCAACTTCAGGAGCCCAGGACCCAGTAGGGGTGAACAACGCCCCCAAGAAAAAGAATATTCGGAAGAACGACCCCAGAAAGAGCATCCGTACCGTGGCCCTGAAATACAGCTCTGGAACACCGATGAGCACCATGTCCCACGAAGTGGTGGAGCACTTGTTTTTTTTTGCCATCAGACTGGCGAATGCCATGAGCAATGATCTGCTGGTTCAGCGCTCTGTCAGAGCATGCGATAATCTCCTGCGCAGCGGCCGCATCTGCAACGACGTGTGTCTTGTTGACGTCGTCCGCAAAAACGCGTAAAGAGAGATCGCGCCGTTCTCCCGTCATGGCACACGCAACTTCAAGCAAGGACGGATGCGCAGCATGATGAGAAACTTGCCAGGCACGAATCGGTGGTACGAAGGCTTTCTGAACAAAAACTGTAGCCGCATTCGAGTCCCCCATGTAGTTCCCGTCGCAAGTTTGAAAAACCTCGTATCCCCCATCAGCACAAACACAAAAGCAATCATTACGATGCCTTTGTCGCAAGCTCCCCGCACCCCCTGGTTGATATAGGCGATCGGCGGCCGAGCCGAGGGACGAGTGCAGCACCGAAGCAAAAGCGTTTCGCATATCGTGTTTGGTATCTATTGTGGAAGTTCTGCTGGTTTGAGCCCTCCACGTTAAGGCAGCAGTAGTGCGCACAGCACCCGTTCGCGAACGCCTAGGAAGGCAGCCATAATCATGACACGGTGCCATCCTCTCTCGTCTCTCCGCAGTTTTTACCCGCATATTCCCGAATGAGCATAAATCATGTAACAGCCTAGTCCCCAGTGTACGTAGCTTACCATTTTCTTTAGATAGTTGATACGTGAACGACATATTCCACTGCGCAACTAGTCGGTCATGTTGGCGTACGTTGCTCAGAATACCAGCAACCCACCCACCCATTAAGCCGCCTCGGCCCGACTGGGCCTCAGCCCCAAGACCAGCAACACGATCACGAACTTCAGGATGTTGGCTCAAACGTAAGGTCCAAACTTCACCAGGAATACTCCAAGGGACCGAAGCTCGACGTCTGGCAGCCGTACGAAACCCCTTGGAGATCCTCTGGAGGTCCTCAAGAGCCTGCGCAATGTCATCGTCGTTCGGGGGGTCCCTGGAGTCGAACTGAGACGCGCCATCCACGAAGGCCGTTTCGTCGATCACCTCAGCGGACATGCCACCTAAACGTGACGGAAGAGCAAGGTCCTCCTCCAACTCCTGCATACTAGGTGTATACGCAGCGATCTGGCCGAAACGACGACGCCTCGGGCCCACCCCCGCACAAGCCATAAGACTACATATCCTCCACTCCTCACTCGCAAGTCCACGCGCTTGTGCATCGGCAAGTTCTTCAGCAAGTTGAGACTCACGCGGCTCACGCAGCTCACGCCGCATAGCCTTACACTTGCGAGTAATCCGCGAGAGCTTCATCACTGCATCAAGACCGTCAGTCATCTCAGCTCGTGCCCGTCCGCGTTCAATAAGAGCAGCTTTTCTTTCCCGGACCATCTTCTGATACGCTACACGTCTTTCGGCGTAACTTCGAGCGGCTCAAAGCCAGCGTCCTGCAGTAAAGTAATCAATTTACTCCAAGCAGCTTCAAGAGTATCTGCATTCTGAACCAGTTGCTCAACGTGCTCCACAAGGAGGAGGAGGAGGAGGAGGAGGAGGAGGAGGAGGGTCCTCGGGGATCCTGGGGGATTGGGAGGTTCCTCTGCCTGCGGCACCTTCACAAATAGATACACCACAACTGCGGGTCGCCTACAGAAGAGGCATGCCTCGCGCGCCCTGGGCTCGTCAAAGAGCGCGGCTCGGGACAGAATAAAGGCCAGCCCCGGAGGTTTGGGGCCGGGCACGAACTTTAGAGCATTCTCGACGACACGAAGGGCTCGAGCCAGGCAGTGCTTTTCGGTTTTGTATTGTTTCCGTTTCCCTGCGTTTTGTATTCCATCTGT